AGCCTAAAAATTTTGGTCTTTGCCAAAAAATAATCCATACAGGAATTTCCGTATCCAATTAGTCCTCCAAAAGGAAATTTTTGGTCCATTTTTTAAATTTATGTCCGGGTCCAAAACAATACAGGTACAAAAAAATAAATTTTTTCTTTTTTTATTTGATGAGAAATCTTGCTTAATAATCTCAAAAATTCTTAGAATTTCATTCAATTTCTGTACGTTCATTTTCTACAATTTATTCGTCAATAATGATGCAAGTTTTTTTGAAGGTCTCTACATAACCTAGTAATAAAGGAAGCATATCGAGTAATTTATCATACTCTTCTCTTTGTAGTTGTAATGATTGATTATTTTTCCATTGATTTCTATTTCTACGATATTCTACAAGTCCTATTTTTTGGTATCTGATCTGTATCCTATGTGAATTTTTCTTCTACCATTATGCAGAATCCACTCAAAATGAGATATTTGCAAGTCTACGTCCAAATTCTGCAAGTTTGGTAAGTTTTGGGATTTTATAATTGTTAGCGAAATTTTTTGGGACTTTTCTTCGAGAATAATATGAAAAAGTCCCAATTTATTGTGAAGTTTTAAGATTAATTTTCTTGAAAAACCAATATTCCAATTCATACTGTTCAACGCCAATACTAAATGAAAAATGATTTTGAGGATAAATAGTTAAATTACAAGACAAAAAACATAAATAACACAATTTATTGTACATTACAGTTGTCAACAAACATAAAGTCTCCCAAAATTTGGGACAGTTCTTTGAATTCGTTCAAAGTATAGTTGACTTAGGCAACTTGTTTCATTGCTTCATTCTCTTTTGGGGTGAACAGTCCAATCTGAATGAAGGGAGATTTGTTAACATTGTACTTCTAGATCGTGACACAAACTTGTCTTCTATTGTAGGTTGCTATGTCATACACTTTGTTGCAGTTGGTAAGCTCCTGAACCATAGTTGACTCCTTGTCAGAAGTGAGTTCCAATATAGGAACGAGTCCAAGTTTTTCAGCATCGTGAATAACAGAATTTCTAATTGCCGAGGTTGCTTCTCCTTCTTTTTCACCAAGATAGACTTTCTGTCTTTTTTCGAGTTTTCCCAACTCATTTTTCTTGAATAGTTGAAAGCAGGGTTCAAAATAAATTTTCCCCTTGTAGGATTTTTGGGATCAATCAAGTCTCCCAATTCTTGTTTGATTTTTCGAGAATTCAATATAGTTGGAACTAGTGTCTTTTCTTGAGTACATTTGTGAAAAACAGACTGATCAGATGAAGAGAAGTGAGAGAAATGATTTTGAGATTAATTGAAATTGGAAGTAAACAATATAAGTCATTCACTTACCATAAAAGGAAATAGAACTATAATTGGAATATTCGAGTGAAATTTCCAAATATGGAATTGTGTAGGTGTTAGTGTTCCTATATAAATCCACAATTTTCAGCAAAAATCATTGTTCCATATGGCTGCAGCTATGTGTCAAGCTCTTCCCAGCTTTTATTCAGATTATTGTCAAAAAAATCGCTATTTATTTCCGTTTCCAGTGATTTGTACGAAAAATATATAGTAACCAATTATTTTTGTGTCTATACACACAATTTTTACTGTTCTTTGGAAAATTGAAAGTTCCACATACTTCTGATTGGTTCATCTTTCGATCAAATTTTACAACGATTGGGTAATTTTCATTTCACATACCAAATTATTGATTGTCTTTACACTCTGTTGAAATACAGATAATATTCGAATGATATTTCATCAACTGGCGAAGTTTTCAATCAACTTGACCGCGCTGTTCATCACAATTTGAAATGAAAAGGAGCAGAAAAAATGCCAAAAGTTGCAAAGAAAAGACTGTTACGCAAAAAATTCAAACGTCACTATTTATGTTCTAACCAGAAACTAGCTTCCACACAACTTATTGGTTCAGCTTTTCTAGAACGAGTTCGTAAAGTACAAAAATTAAAATACGAACATGATTTGTTAAAAATAATCGACTGTTTTATTGATGGTTATGGATTTGTAAATAGTGATCATGTCAATTTTTCAATAAAAAAAACTTTTGATAATCCATCTATTTTCTCTCATATGTTTACGAAATTACCAAAAATCACCGAAAAAAAAGCTCACCGTTGTCAAAAAAATTGCAAAAACTTTTTCAAACAAGTAAGAAAGATGTAATATTTCTTTTGATTTTCAAGAAGTTGCAAAAAGAGTTTCAATTTTTTAAACAAAATGTAAAAAATTTTAATTTTTTTTTGACAAAATGCGAAAAGTGTATCAATTTTTTCGACAAAATGCGAAAAGTGTTTCAATTTTTTTGACAAGCTGCAAAAGTGTTTCACCTTTTTCGATAAAATGCAAAAAGTGTTTCAATTTTTTTGACAAGATGCGAAAAGTGTTTCACTTTTTTCGACAAAATGCGAAAAGTGTTTTACTTTTTTCGACAAAATGCGAAATGTGTTTTACTTTTTTTCGATAAAATGCGAAAAGTGTTTCAAATTTTTCTACAAAGTGCTAAAAGTGTGTACAAGATGCAATATCGATTAGGTAACTTTTTACTGGTGTACAATTTTTTTAGTGTTTTTCCGAATGTGTGTGCAAAAATAAGTTTGGAGCTCTAAATTAAGTTCTAATTGTTTTTCAATGGTTCACCTTGAGCCTCTCATCTATTCTCATAATTAAAATGAAGTTGAAGAAAATAACTAATTACAGAAAACGAAGTCAATATCAAACATACTTTATTTACAAAAACATTTAATCAAAGAGCTGTCGAGCAGCAGAAGAGTTCTGGAGGTTCTCTATAGAACGCAGAGCTGGACGAGGTTCGATTGCTGGTGGTTGTTGTGGAGGAGTGTTTTGAGGCGTCATTGTTTCTGAGAAACCCTCATCTTCATCTATTGTGATGGGGTTTTCGACTGATCCTTCCTCCTCCCAAGGAAAGAGAAAGTGGTCGACTGGTTGAGCCACAAATCTTGAGTCCGGAAACTCGGGATAGTTCATTCCCACATGATCAGAAACTTCCCCCATCATTTGCATTGTTCCAAGTTGGTTCTCTGTGATGGGAACTTGCATCATATGATGTTCGTTGAAATCACTTCGCATCACTTCCACCATGTGCCAGGCTTGAATTGGGATGTCCATTCGTGCCAGAAAAACTCCAGAGACTGCTTCTCGCACTTGAATTTGTACTAGATCAGTCGAAAATTTTACAGAGTACATGAGGTTGCTGTTTTGCACTGAGAAAATCATTTTGAGCAATAAACTGAGTTAAATATTAAAAGCAAGAAAGAGCTGATAGAAGGGTGGCTGACGGAAGATAAGTTGAAATTAAGGTATTTAGAGCTGAGAGAGGAGGTAGTTGACGCTAGTTAAGTTGAAAATAAAATTATTTTTAGTTAGGAGTTAGGGGTACCTTCAACTCGAATGTGTGGGTTTGAACAATCAGAATCAATTTTCCTTATTTGGATTTTAGTCGTATCCAATCAGATTTCAGCTTCCTTTATGGTGTTCTTGGATAAAAGTCGTGTCCAATCGGAAACAAAGCTCCATTTTGGATATTGTCGTTTCCACTCACAAAAATGTTCATTTTTGTTCTTGTTGTCGTATTCAATCAGAGAAATGTTTCAGGACTTAAATCTTCCAAATAAGTAAAAATATACACAAAAGCAATAGCAAAAACAAATGACCAAAAGTTGTTTGCAGTAAAAATAAGAAATATTGCTGATATAAGTAACAAAAGAAAGAAAAGTAATAAAAGTAACATCTTTGCAACGTTTTTCATCAGGTTAATTGAATTTTTTGTATTTAATCAATTAAAATTTGCTGACTTTTGAGTAAATAGTCAAGTTCTTTAATGTTTATGTAAATTTGGGAGGATAACTCAAAGTTGACGAATTTTTCAAAGCAAACTTCTGGAAATCTGATTCCAAATCGGATCAAGCAGGATTTTGAACTTTGAAAATCCTTAAATAAATGAAGGAATAAAGAATTTTGCTTGGGAATTTTAACAAATTTAGGTATTGGGTAGGGGATAAAAAGAGTTTTTGATATATTATCGTACGACTTTTTGATTAATTTCAAATTCTCGAGAATAAACAAAATTTCTTTCCTTGTGAGGTGTAATTCAGCCGTAAGTTTAAAAATTTGACACGCAATATGTGGATCAAAAGTAAACCCTTTGATTGAGTAAGTTTCTCTGAAGAGACCTTTACTTAGTCGGATAGCTCTATTTTTGCACAATAAAGACGTCCAAAAAATTATGAAAAAAGTAAGAGTCAACATCTCTTTCATCAATAAGAAAATCAATTGGAATTTTTTCTTTTTTCTTATAAAGTAACTCGAGGAAGCTCAAATGTTTTTGATAGACATTTTTCAAATAATGATTAAAGTTTTTTAAAAATACTAAACAATTCACTTTTAGAAAATGCTGGATTCTGATTGGTTGACTTCCAACAAACAGTGTTAAATAAAAGAAAACTCAACTCCGATTGATTGATTTCCAAGTAAAAGTAAATAAAACTCCTTTCATTCTGATTTTCTTTACGTTAAAAGCAATCGCTCTATACTTTACAACTACTTCAAAGTATTTTCAATAAATTTGAACTAATCAAAGTAAGTATAATTAATCGAATATTTTTTGGGACTTTTTAAATCTCCCAATTTTGTAGGTACCATGTACTTTCATTTAATTTTACTACAAGCTAAACCTTCCACTTTTTTTCAGATGCCAGCACTCAACAGGAAAGAGAAAGTGAAATGCGAGGACTGTAGTAAGATGTATGTTCATAAAAATGCTGCGCGACATCGCAAGAGTTGTGTGCGAGCAGTTATTTCTTGTCCGAAATGTAGTTATTGTACATACAACCAGCAGTAAATGAATTTCCATACGAGCAAAAAGCACGTAAAGTCAACCCCAAAGTCAACAAAGTGTGTATCGTATGAGAAAGAATTTCCCAGCCCTTATTCACTTCAACAGCATGGCAAGAAGGATCACGGAATGAAAGCAAGAAAAACGAGTGATTCTGTTGCTAATTTGAATAAAATCTTGGAAAACGAGGAGGATAATGATCAGCTACGAGATGAGTTGAATGCCTGTCAACACTTCTTGACAGATACTGAGATAGAAAATGGACGCCACAAAGTATTTAATTTTCAACTTTCAAAACTAGATCCTAATCTAGTTAATGAAAAACTGGATCAAGTCTTTGAAAAACTTGATTGTGCAGCAAAAATCAACATTGCCTTGGGATTTGTGTTACGTAATATAGAAACAAGCGAATATCGTTATTTCTACGCTCATGAAAATAACACACTCTGTGATAAATCTATACTGCTTTGTACTAAAGAAGACTTGACATATATACAGAACAAGGTCAATAAGCAATATATCATTGAAATTTGTACACAAGAGAGACAAAATACGAAATGGCGATTCAAGCTGATCGCTAATGTGACCATTTTTGCAGCCTTACTGAAAAACGTACCTATGGGATGTCCAGATTCTGTGATTCCCGAACCAATTCCAGATTCTGTGATTCTCGAATCAAGACACAAAACAATCATACAATGACAATCCTTTTTTCAAAAATACTGTTGTTTCCAGAAACAATATTGGTGAAAATATGAAGACATATGCGGAAGAAAACGATTTGTTAAAACAACCGCAAAGAATGTTGATATCGAGCTTCAAATTGACCAGCGGAACAATGATCACACCACTTTTCAATTTTTACTTGGATCTAGGACTACAGTGTACAAAAATTCATCGTTTTGTACAATACACACCGCATAAAGTATTCAACATTGTTCAGTCTGTTGTTGATGCTAGGCGAGCCGGCGATGAAAATCCATTATCTGGCGTAGTAGCCGAAAAATGAAACTTCTAGGAAACAGTTTCTACGGCTATCAATTAATGGACAGATCAAAACATACAATGACAAAATATCTTGGAGACGAAAAAACTCACAAAGCTATCAATAACCAATTCTTCAAGAGACTTAAAATCGTAGCTAAAGATTTGTATGAAGTGGAACTTGTTAAATCTACTATAGAGCATCGTGAACCAATTATAGTAGGATTCTTTATAATACAGTATGCCAAGTTGAGAATGTTGGAGCTGCATTATAACTTTTTCGATAATTTTTGCGATGTCAACAAATTCGAAGAACTCGAAATGGATACAGACTCCCTCTATTTGGCTTTGGCAGAAGAAGATTTAGATGATTGTATCCTTCCTAGCAAGCGAGCAGAATGGACTGAAAGGCGAAGCAAGGACTGTCGAGACGACTTCAGAGCAGATGCAAAAAACAACTTTTTTCCCCGTACTTGCTGTTCTAAACATAAGAAACATGACAAGAGAGAACCAGGATTGTTCATGGAGGAGTTCAGATGCATCAAAACTTTATGCCTGTGAAGTAAAACCTATTGCTGTTACGATAGTAAAAGTCAAAAGTATAGATTTAGCAGTAAAGGTCTGAAAAAACGTGCATTAGAAGACTCTGGAGATGGACCAATGGCGAAGTATCGATAAGTACTGGATGAGGCAGTGAATTTGAAGTCAACGAATAGAGGATTTAAAACGATTAACCATGCAGTCGCAACTTATGAACAAACTAAAAAAGGACTGAGCTATTTTTACCCTAAACGGGAAGTTGAATGTGATGGAATACATACTAAACCTCTAAATTGGTAGGAGATTATGTAGTAAAATTGTATACAATGCTGTGAATTAATACATTTTCTCTGTAATTAACCTTTTTTTTTGAAAAAACTCTTTTTCAACGCTACGTTTAGGTTACCAGTAAAACAGTATGTTGTTTTTTGATTAGGAAAATATTTACAATCTGGAAAATTGTCTAAATCTAGCTCCAAAAACTCGGGTGCCAAAGTTTTTTTGAAACTTACCATCTGAAACCTTACCATCTTAATACATAGGAAACCTACCATCGTAATACTTTAGGAATCCTTTTCCCTAATGAGTTCTTAATTCCCTACAATGAATTTCTTAGACATAGGGAAATCTATACATGGGAAATTCGGGCGCCGAAAAAAACTTACCATCTGAAACTTACCATCTGAAACCTCGTATCTTAATACATTGGGAAACCTATTCCCTATCTTAATACATTGGGAAATCTATAGCATATGTTAATACATAGGGTGAGGACCGGATACTCTATAGCCTATGTTAATACATGGGCGGTCCTCACCCCCCCCCCCCCCGGCTGAATTCATCCAACATATACTACTGGTGTGGCTCAAAGTATATTTCGTAAGTTGCGCAAAAGTCTTTTTCCAGTCGCTCCGTAGGTAATAAATCAGCCAATAGAAAGTTGTAGCCTCCCCTAGTCAATCAAGGGAGTTTATCTTGCAGTATACCCGCACCGAGCGCCCACGGATCATAATAGATTATATTGCCATAATATGGTCAGCATCTATAAAATGACAAAATAATCGATTATAATCGATTAAAAAGGATTAAAATCATAATGTTTTTTATATCAATATAATCCATTATAATCAATTATAATCCAATAAAAATGGATTTAAATCCTAATATTTTTTATGCCAATAAAATCCATTATAATCGATTATAATGATTTTTTTCGAGGGGTTATTCAAGAAAGTTACAATTTTGTTCGAAGTTATCTCATTTTCTGTTTAGTGCAGCTGCTTCGCATTACGCTTCATAAATTGTTATATTTCATAATAAAATGTATACAGTTTTTTGTATCTACTTTTTTAAATTCATCGCAGTTTAACACTTCATTTTACTGTTTTTTTTTTATTTTTTACCACAGCCCCCCCAGTTTACCACCTCCCTCCATTTTACCACCACCCCCCAGTTTACTCCCCACCCGCAGTTTACTCCCCCCACCCAATATATCCCCGCCACCCCCCCCCCCCCCCCCCCCAGTTTACTCAGAGAAAAAAATTGCTCTGAGTATCTTTTGTTTAGAGCAAATGTCGTAGAAACTATTAAAATAGTCGTGGTGTGGCTCAAAGTTTTTTTCTTAAATTGCGCAAGAGTCTTTTTCCAGTCGCTCCGTGGGTCATAACTTAGCCGAAAGAAAGTTGTAGCCTCCCCTAGTCAATAAAGGGAGTTTATCTTGCAGTATGCCCGCACCGAGCGCCCACGGATCATAATCGATTATATTGCCATAATATGGTCAGCATCTATAAAATGACAAAATAATCGATTATAATCGATTAAAAAAGATTAATCTTAAAAAAAATTTTAAATCAATATAATCCATCATAATCGATTATAATCCATTAAAAATGGATTTAAATCCTAATGTTTTTTTTTATGCCAATAAAATCCATAATAATCGATTATAATGAATTTTTTCGAGGGGTTATTCAAGAAAGTTACAATTTTGTTCGAAGTTATCTCATTTTCTGTTTAGTGCAGCTGCTTCGCATTACGCTTCATAAATTGTTATATTTCATAATAAAATGTATACAGTTTTTTGTATCTACTTTTTTAAATTCATCGCAGTTTAACACTTCATTTTGCTGTTTTTTTTATTTTTTACCACAGCCCCCCCAGTTTACCACCTTCCTCCATTTTACCACCCGCCCCCCCAGTTTACTCCTCACCCCCAGTTTACTACCCCCCCCCCCCCCTCCAATTTACTTTACGCTCCGCTCAGTTTACCCTCCCACAGTATAACCCCTCCCCCGGTTTATACCCCCCACTTTACACCCCCTCAGTTTACGGAGTGGGGGGGGGGGGGGTGTGTTAAAAACTTAAGGGGGCGAGGGGATGACGTTGATACATGACATTTAGTAAAAGACATAGCATACTTTCTGCAAATTTTCGCAAAATTTGCAAAATTTTGCTAAAAATAACCTAATTTAGTTCTAAAAATGAAATGGATTATAATCGACTATAATGGATTATAATGGATTCTTATTTGAAAAATAATCGATTATAATCGATTATCTTGGTAAAAACAATCGACTTCAGTGACAAAAATAATGGATTATACTCGATTATAATGGATTATAATGGATTATTTTTTTTTCAAAAAAAATCGATTATAAAGGCAATATAATCAATTTCGTGGTCTAAATTTTACATCTGCAATGGATTACAAATGGATAATTTTTGTCTCGGAAATCCATTATAATCGATTAGAATCCATGGGCGCTCGGTGCGAGTGTCTTTAAAAGATTGATTATCTTTAAGACCTTGCAAAATAACTTCCTTTTACTTTAAAGATGAACGTTTTTTTTTATAAAATCTTTTAAGATATGATTTTGTGTGGGAAAAACAGCCTAAAAACATTATTTAGCGTTTGTGCAGTAAGTGCTGTGGGACCATTCAATTAACAAAAGAGAAAAAGAGAAAATTATAAACACATCATAAGATGTACATAATTCCTTATGGAGTTTAAGTTAACACACGATACAAAATAAGCTAATTGTTTCCATTTATTCAAGTTTTGACATAAATGACAAAAAAGTACATTTTAACCGCTAGAATCGCAAGACTAGATGAATTCTTCCAATAAAATCAAAAAGTATGTTCTTGGAAATCTCAATTCAAAATGCATACATTATAACCACAACCAAGATAACCTTCTTGGCAAAGATATTTTCCTTGATCGACTCAGGTCGTCGCACCAAAGTATAAAAGGCGATGCTGTTTTTTTCTTCGATGATGTTTGATACGTTTCCATTACCGTGAGTCGTCTCCCCTTTTACGTCATTTTTAGCATGTTTGTGATCCCCGAGTGTTTGCGTTGAAGAAATTTGTAATTGCAGCAACAACTGTGATTCAGTGGCATGTAATTCTACCATTAACCTCATCATCCCCTAAGCTGCTTTTATCTAACCCCATACCATTACCTTCAGTTTCCTTATCTTTACCAAAAAAGTGGCGCTGGCAAACTCCTGTTCGTACTCATAGCAGTACACAAACTTGATACATTATCTAGTATTCAACCCGTACATACAGGGGCGGAACTAGGATTTTCTCGAGGGGGGAGGAGTTTCAAAAAAAAATTCTTTGTCGAAAGTTTTGTCGACCCTTTTTTTTAGGTCGACCAAAATGATTTTACAAGCTCTCCCCAAAGATAAAAAGGACCCTGTGTTGTCAAATTTTCTGCGCCGCAGGCAAAACTTTCGAAAAAACAAGGCAAAAAAGGCACTCTTAGGCACTTCTTAGAAAAATTTGACCAAAAAAATCGCGTTTCTTTTGACGCGCGATCTCCCCTCAAAAAATCTCCCCTCGCCTTTATAAAAATTTTAAGGTGCCTCACCAAAAATAGATATCTCAAAATAGAACAAAGGGGGGACCCTTTGGGTTGGCAGGGGGTCGAATCCCTGAGTGCCTGCAGCTTTTACTTTTCCAATTGATTGTTCACTGTACCAGTACCAACACTTATGCCGAAACCTGCCCGAGTACCAATACCATGCCGCATACTTGCCTTGAAAATACGACTAGCACTTTTTCAAAACTGAGAACTGTAAAATTGATATCTCCCAAGCGCAATTATGCAGATTCTAAATCCTCTAAAGTCTATGTATTTTTCTGTTTTTATCAAACTATACAATCAACCAATAATTCAGATTGAAAAAACAAGTCTCACTGAAAATGTAGAGCTTGAGGAATACCAGGAACTAAAGTTTAGCACTGCAGCAGTAATCCGACAAAATGACTTCATTAGGAGGTGAAACTGTGCATTTTGTGAACTGTAAGCGAGTTCCGCAACAAGCCCGAAACCGATTTGTCGCGGAATCCGCGACATTTGTGGTTTCTTTCAATTTTTTGACCGTTTTGAGTTCGACGAACACATAGCTAGAACACTGTAATTCTTGCAAAGGCTTCAACAACAGCCAATTTAGCAAAATATGCAGCAAAAAATGCGGAATCTTGATCAGTTTGTTTTTATCTTGAACAAATCATAATATAGGAGTATGGAAAAATTATGCTGTCGCAGAATCTGCAAATTTTAATCGAAATCCGCAAATTGTAAGCGGAATTCGCATTTCGTATGTGGTTTCCATTAACAAATATAGTATTTCTTGAAATTACGTTTTAAAAAAATTTAATTTTTGTGTGCCACCAGCAAGATTTTCCAATAAGTCAATCACCTTTACTGCTATCAGTTTAAATATATTTGTTGACATCAAATCAAGTTCATTTACTGCACACTGTTTGAAGTCACCAGCTACATTATGATACTTAAACATAAATAAATTACATTTCAATTTAGGTTTTATCGTAATAATCCAACAAAGAATTCAAGATTAGATGAATTATAGGCTAAAAGTTTTTTGTAAAACTTTTTAATCCAAAAGGAAATTGAATCCAAATTTCAATCCTAATTAAAATCAATAAATTAGAAATTAAATCAAAATTACTTTAAGATGATATCATTATGTGCTTTAAAAGCAATATGACAAGATCAGTTCTTAGAGATTAACAAAAAATGTAGGCAAAAAATTAGAGATAAGCAGAGGAACTAAAATTTTGCCGTTGTCCTTCATCTCAATTGCCCAAGCCATCAAGCAATATTCTCATATATGTTCAGCTAATATTCTCAGCTAATATTCACATATATAATTCTCTCCCAAACACCCCTGGTGGTTGTAGTCCAAAACATTATCACATACATATTCATTGTCACAACCAAACCCGCTTATCCCCCCCAAAAAAAAACATTTTACTGATTTTGTTTTCGAAGGATATGTTTCTCAAATAATGATCCTAAATACTTTTCCCCAAATACTGAAGGGGTACATCCACGATTTCAATTACCCTTTGATTTCAGATTTGTTATTGAACTCGACAGACATTGACCAAACCTATATTTTAAATTCTGCATTTGCTAGGTAACACTTCTAGCTATCGTTCTTAATTGTTCAAGCACTAACTGGTTTAGGTCAGTATGATGATCAACGTTGCTTACTCCACCTATTTTTGGGGAATTCATTTAAACTTTTGAAATCAGTTAATGTTTTGAGATATTCCCTTGCTTTCGCGTAATCCAGAACAACCAGGTATATTTGCTCGAGGCAGAATTTGCGACAAAAATAAGTTTTTTATGCAAAATATTTTTTATAGATGTTTTTGCGTTACGTTTCGCCTGGTAATGTTCAGTTAAACAGCTATTGCAAAATATTCGACAAAAAATTCTTGTGTGATTTTTGCTTCACGAAGTAACTGTTACTCGTATTCAAAAACTATATTTTTGTTTTACGCAATTACTCAAACATAAAATTTTCAGCATCTGGATTACTTTATAATTTGAAACATTAGTTTGCAAAAAAAATTATCAAAGATTTTTTTGAGAACAAAAAAACTTGTACTTACAACTTGTTTATACTCGCCCAACTTATAATTTTGATTAAATGGCCGCTTCATTGAACGGTCACAGATCCCGAATCTATTTAACCTTTAATCTCAAATGGAAAAAATTAAGGCTTCGGTACAGAAAAGTTTCACATTACATATGTTGTATTCTATAAAAAGTTAATGGTATTCTGTATTGCCGACCTATCACTTTATATCGATCCAGTTATTTATTCATTTCTGCAACAAAATGCTTGAAAATTATTTTTATCTACGCCAGACAATTTATTTTTTTTAGAACAGATCACTTTGCAACATTTTTTGAGCAGACTATATAACTAACCAATAAACCAATTTGACATTTCTGTCAACAAAAATTACTCATCATCTGAGCCGGTTCCTTTTCAAAACTCCAAAACCACTCTCTTTTGGAAATGGAAAATTAAAACTTTGATTGCATCAGTGATTGTTTTTAAAGCTTGTCCAAAAAAAATACCAAAATAATGGAAAAAATCTGAGCCTCCACTTTTTTTTACGGTAATAGGAAAACATTATGCTCAAGAAAACAAAAAAGGAAATTGTTGCTGCTTCTCGAATATAATTGGCGTTCTTTCTCCCGCAGATCAGTGAAAGAAAAGCCAGAAAAGCAAAACTCTGCTCTTTCTAGGGAAAATTGTAAGCAATGCTTTTAATGAGTAAAACTATTAACCGATGCATAAATTTATTTTTTCAAAATTTTTTGTATTTGATTTAGGTTTTTAAAACTGTTTAAGGAAAATAACAAGATGAAAAATTTTCCTCATACCATCTTAAAAGCTTTGAATTTTAACCTCTGAATTTAGAGAAATATATGACCTCGAATTTTTTATTTTCATTTCTCCTGAATTTGTAACCATAGGAATCTACCTAATTTTGGACAAAGCTGAATGTATCACTGTTGCGCCGGCAATTTTTCGACTGTCTTTTGAAGTGTTTAACACTTTAAAAAAAAAATCGAAAATCTTCTCCGCACCTAAACTAAGATGATATCCTAATTTGGCCCAAATAACAATTGGGCATTGAATTATCAATTTACAAAAAAAGGGGCAGGTGAATTCTTATTTATTAGATTTAGACAGTCGACTTTTTCTGGAAGAAAAGCTATTGCAAGCACAATTGCTGTGTCCCTATCTTTCAAAGTTGTAATAAACAAGTCTTACATCAGAGCGCAGCTTTGAATATTTCAACTGCTTTTTAAAGTAGTTTTTTAATTGTGCTACTTCGTAAGCTAATCGACGTAACCGACGTAAGTGTTAATTGTGCTTCTCATTTGGAGATAAAATTTGTACTCTGGAAAATATCCGTCAGCATTACAGTAATTTACAGTAATTTCAATGCTTTTATAAATATAGTTATGAAGCTAAAATAGATCAAAAAGTTTTTTAAACTCCACCAATGCAGCGTAATTTTTTTAATTGAATACACCAAAAAAGTTGAAAAACTCAATTGGGAACAATGAATTGTGTTTCAAGAAGTTACACACAAATGTTTTTCTTATATTTTTCAGGTCGGAACAAAATAACTTTGAAAACTTACTCAAAAATTGAAATTCTAATTTAGTCTTTTTAATTGAGTCTCTACAAAGTTATAAGAATAAAGAAAATGGGCGAATAATTGATTTAAACTGATTTGATTGGGTTATTTTTCATAATGTAACTGTATCAAATGAAGCTGTAAAAAGACAAAGTTCATAATTTTGAATTAACTGAATATCCTCGTAAACTTTTTTTTGCTTTAGATTAACTTTAAAATGATTTGACTCTAAATTTATTGTCTATTTTATGAGACATTTTTAAATTTCTAAGTTTTCTCAGAAGCCTAAATGGATCATTTTATTGCAAAACTTTGTGCAACCCAGGCAATATTTTGAGAGAATGTGCTGAGTAAAAATTCGTTTTTTTTTCGTCACTCGCTTCTCTACAACTATTTTTCAGCAAAAAAGAGAGAACGGATTTTACAGTCACCTCTAAAAAACTTTGGTTGAGAGTATTTCTGTGTGTAAATATAGATTCTGAATGTGAAGGAGAAGGACAGTTATTTGACTGCTACGCTATGGATACACGTCTACTACAGGTCACAAAGCGCAATATGGAACACAACTGCGCATCCTGGAAGAAAAGTTCTCATCTTCCACCAGCGAACTTCCTGGTCCGCGGATATCAGTGAGTCGTGATTCTTTTGAGATATGAGTTTGGAAGAGAAGGATTGCGAAAAACCATATATTTTTTAAAATTTAAATTATTTTTTTAAATGAACATTCACAAGCTGAAATAGAACATTTTATATAATTCAAATAACTCAAAGTACCCACAACTTTGTCAAAATTAGTCTTTTCATTTATAGATAGATTGGAAGTATATCACTGAAGTTAATTCTAGTGAAAATAGTATTTATTTGTTGTAGTTATGTATGATGCAGTAGAAATCATTTTTGAGAGCTTCAATCAACAGCTTGTCCAAGTCGACTTCGGAGTTGTTTCCTGCTGGTCGTCAGCAGTCACTGTCAAAGTGGCCTGTAGTTTTGACGTCACCTTTTTTCCTTATGATGAACAGACCTGTGACATTGAGTTCGGGTCATGGATTCTCGATCCCACTGTAGTAAGTCTTCGTAAGTTCTATCTTCTACAAAGTTTAATAATTCATGAAAGTCTTCAATGGAGTCCCGATATAATACCAATCTTCTAATACCAATCCTCTCACACCAAAATATTTTGGTGAATAATAAATTATATCTTTACATCCTGGGAAAAAGTCTTAAAAGGTTTTACCTATTGTCATACCTTCAAATAATTTTTGAACTAATTCAAATGGTTTTCTGTTATGTTGTCTTCTGTCGAGTAACACTTTAAGTAAGATAACAAAAATTATGTTTTTATCTGATTACACACCTTCAAGCGGAAAAGATTTTGATAATTTCTTTTTAGTTTCGTTACTCCATTTTAATTGAGTTATTTCTCCGTTCATTCAAATCACGAGTGGTGAGGTTCAGGGTGGGAGATAAGGGTAAAGTGTCAATTGGAAATGGACGTCCTTTTTAATGTGTTTTTAAAAGACCCCACTGAGTAAGTACGCCACTTCAAAAACCGTGAATTTGTTTTCAAGCTATGCGTATTATTTAAGTATAAATAATCTTTTTCGTAGTTGAAACAAAAAGAATAAAAAATTCTTGATAATGGGAGATGGGAATTATTTGACTTGATTGTTTTTTTTTGCTCCAAGTTCCCCGAAAACACCAAACATTTTTGGTCGGGGTGACTTTTTTTCAGATCACTTAAAAAATTTTTAGTGTACTTATTTAAATAACAATATTTTATCCGAGATCGTTTTTTTAAAGTTAAAGTGGATTGAATTTGCGATTAAAATGGTCAATTTGGAAAAACTAAAGCGGGTGAGATTTCCAATTTTTCTTAGGCTTATAAAAATCGGCAAAATGTTCTAGCTCAGAACTATTCTGAGTTCAAGTGTCATGGTAATTGAGGCACATAACGTCCTAATTGATGTGATAATTGTCACTTAGTTTTTTTACTTAGTGTCTTGGAAACATTAACGACTGAGATTTTTTTTAACTGGGTTTTTTTCTGAAAATGGTCTTATTCTCTTCTCGGAACAGTCAGGGCCTTGTCTTAAAATCAATACTTTTGCTTCGTTGAACCGTCCAGTAAAAAAAAGTTGAAAGCTACTTTTAATGCAAATTCTAAAAACTGTGTTTATCTATCAACAAGACGTATGAAAAATAATTTATATTTATAGTCTCATTTTTGTTTTTAGATTTTCAAGTCAAGGTTTTTTGTTCAGAAGTTCAGATCATCTTAACTTGCTCTTCTTCAAAAAATATGAGGAGTGGGAGCTGATACGACCAGTTGCTCTATTCAGCTTCATGCGGGAAATCGGACCGAGTAAAAACATAATGGATAAACTTCTGGAAAAAATTTCTAAATAGGAAAAAAAAATCACATAAAAATTCAAGGCTGCCTTATTGCTTTCTTGTATTAAAAAATTCTTCAAATGGAAAAATGTGTATTCTCATTTAAAATGTTTCCAGCCGTTTTTAGCGTTGGTTTGTGTTGTCAAAAGTGTCTTGATACAAAAACTAAAAGGAAAACCAATATGAGTGACCGCAAAAATCGTACAGTACAGTGCAACAAAGTTATGAATTTGTCCAGAAAAATTGAAAACTGTGTGTTTGACAGTTTCTGTAGGTACTTGCTGTGAAAATGTATTGCATATCAAACCTGTTTAAAATGACAGCTTCTGTTTTAATTGAGCGTGAAACAACAATAATATACCGTAACCACCACATTTTGTAAACATTGCATAAAAATAAGAAAAGAGTTTTAGAAAATTGAAAATCTTAGTTTTTTACGATTAAAAAGTTTTAAACTCGTATTGTACGAAAAATATGTAATCTGAAACAAAACAGACACGAAACTTTTGAATTTTGTACAAGAAAGAAAATCAGGACGGGTAAATGGCTGATTTTTTTTGGGGTGTCTACGTTGACTAAGACTAATGTCCCTTTTAGTCATGAAGACCTATACATGATTTTTAAAGGGCCTATTCTTCTATGCCTGCACAAATTTTTATTGGATAACAATCAATTGTTATGAATGTTAATTGTCAGTTTACATAAATATCTGAAATCTTCTATTATAATTTAAGCTAGTTTCAATATATCAAAACATACTAGAGTCGATTATGATGGATTACAAAAGAAAAAGTTTAGGTTATGAGTTGGCTTGAAGCATTTAGGTATAACCAAAACTGGAAAATTAGTTTTGTTATAGTGAGAAATAATTTTGACATGACTAGTTTTGAAAACTTTACTATTTTTCATTTACCCTGATTCTTACCCCACCTCCTTGCATTTATCAGTTTTCTTATGGTTTTGTTGCGGAAAAATTTGGTTAAATGAGACCAAAAATGGAGTAAGACTATTCATAATAAATCCTAATAGATTTTGATGCTAAGGAATTTATCCATTGTAATTACAAGATTTTTATTTTTTTTTGTACTCAAAAGTCGCATCAATAATTGTTTATAGCGACAAAATTTTAGGCAACAAAATTCCAGTGTAATTAATTTTTATCCATAGATAGGAAATGGACACAATTATGATATTCTTGGCATGCGGCTGATGTTAAAGCGGCGCCATTTTTTCTATTCAGTTGTGTTTACCACCCCGCTAATCACTACTTACATCTTCTCAGGAGCGGTATTTTTTGTTCCTGTTGACTCGGGTGAGAAAATATCGTTCGCAATAACAATGCTCTTAGCACAGGCCGTTTCCTGTACAACTATTACCAATTTTCTGGCTGCTAGTTCACTGCACATTCCAAGGATTGCAATTCTATTGACAATGACCGTTATCCAGATATCACTCAATGCCTTGATGACAACTTTGGGTGAGTTATTGATTTTAACTGTTTGACTTTTGCTGAAATAAACCCAAATATTTTACTTAAAAATAATTGCTTGCCAAAAAAGGTTAATTATATGACCGCATACTTTAAAAGTTGGATTATTAACTATCATTTCAAAAACTGTCAAAAGATTTATTTCATTTCATTTTTTTGTTTGTGTCGGCCTTGTTTTTGTTCTGATTTATTTAAATTTTTTTAAAGCATAAAAACTCATTTGTATTTTTGGTCCGGAACTATCATTGCATTAATTTTTTCAAATTTAGTTATCATTGAATTTTTTTTCAGTGATGAACATCCATTTTCTCGGCGTAAAGCTCAAAATGGGATACAATACCAGATGGCTCTTATCGCACAGGGCAATGTGGTGTTTCGGTTTGAGACCTTGTGAGCTCGAGAAAGCATTTCCTGGAGCTAAAATCACAATCGACGATATGGCACCGAGTTCTAATATTGAAAAGAGTATAAAAGTTCAAAGTAAGATTGATAAGAAAAGCAATGACAAAAACAACAAAAGCAACAACAACAATGCCAACGATAATACGAATAAAAAATGGGCTAATCTAACTGGACAAGTTGATACCGATAAAAGCGTCCGCGAAGAACTCAAAGAGTGTGGTTTGAGAATGAAAGAAATTGTTGAAAATGCTGTTTTTCTGGAGAGCGAGGAAAACAATGAGTATCTGTGGAAATATTTCGCTCTACTCGTCGACCGACTTTTATTTTTTCTCAGTATTTTGGGTTCGCTAATTATTGGCATATTTATGCTGGCGTTGTAAAATCATATAGATCAATCTGACTTTGAATTGAGTGCTGCGGTTTTGTTTTAGGTACATCATTTTTTGATTGATTATATCTGAATATATATCATTGAATGACTGCCACCGATTCGAAGTGTTCTCATTCTTAATCTCTTGCTGCACGCATTTTTGTCGTTTTAAAATTGTGTACTATGTTTTTAATTGTGAGTGGTCTAATTTTGTATTTGATTTTTTATACGGAATTTAAATTAAATATGAAAGCAGTTTAAAATTGTACATATACTGAAATCAAATTCATTTCCTTTTAGCAGAAATTGAAAGTTTTGAAAATCTCATTTCAATTTTCGGGTCGAGGTTCAAACTTTGTTCGATGCTCAGACTTTTAAGTTGCCAAAGTCTGTATATAAATTCGCAAAAGTCTGGACATAAAGCCGCAAAAATCCCAACAAAAATCAGATTTTTGCCTCTTTAGATCCAGATATTCGAGATATTCCAGATTTTCCATCCTTTTGCTACTTTTCATCTCAAATTTTGTGTTAAAGTTTTTGATAACCCAAATAT